GTTACTGACGGTGGTGGCGTCATGTTCAACACTTTCAGTTACCTTATTTGTCGAGTTATTGATGCCATTGTGCTTCTCTAGATTATCTTTGGAGTGCAGAAATATCTATCCTACCGACTGCGCCATGTTGTTGTTGAACATAAACTACCATTACTTCTTCAATTGTTTAATCGATGATCTTTCATCTAGTATATATAAAAATGTCTCAACTCCACCACCATCTTCTATATCTCTATCCCCCCAACCAACCTTGACCATCTGACATCTAACATTTACATCTGACATCGACAACTGACATAGACATCTGACATTTAGGATAAGAGACAATGTTGCCACCCTGACAATTAGAGCCATTAGCTTATGATAAGAGTGATAAGTTTTTAAATTTCTTGACATTAATTGTCAATATTCGATCGAAAACGCTAATAATGCCTGTTGTAGATGTTCTTTTGGCAAATATTTTGCTCTATTTAGATGGAAAAAGCCGACCAGTAGTGGAAGGGGAAGCAGTTCTCCGTGCTAATCATGTGATTTTGTGTGAGGCAGAAGACTTCAACAAAAGGCACATTTTTGCACTTTGTCTACAAACTTCGGCGATGAAATCTTCCCCACATGAAGTAAAATTGAAGTTGGGGTCCAGAGGAACTCCTGTAGAACAATGGATTTGTATTTGTTCATGCAAAGCAGGACAATCTGGGTATTGTAAACATGTTGTAGCTATTCTTTTATATGTCAATTGATTTGCTCGTCATAATTAGTTTGAATTGTTCGAACTATCTCCAGTTCTTCACCCGTTCACTGTTCACTAAACTAATAAAAATGTAATAATGTGATCACTACCAACAGTGCCAACACTTTATGTCATTGACAAGTTTGACTACAGCTACAGCAAGCTGAATGCAATGTAGTCTATGCACTTCATCGAAAGACAACAGTTTGTTTTCCCCCAGTTTGAAGTTCGTATTATGTAACCTAGATGTCACCCACTTCGTGAATCTCGCGAATATAAGCCCGAAACATGTACCTGCTTGATTAATCTCTGATCTTTCTGATAAATGTTGTGGAGATGACTTTGGGTTTCTTCATCTATGAACTATACTACTCCACTTTGAGTTGCCATGGACTTCTTCCAAAGATTAATCAATAATATATGTATTGGGTTATCTATGGAAGATCACAAAAAAAAACGGGATACGGAAGAGATGACGCATTTACTCGGACATTTCCACAGGATGAACATTAAGAGCGTGATAAACCACAAACCCGTTTCTCTATTAATTAAAACGCTTTTATTAGCTTCACCTGTATGTATGTATGCTTGTATGTAACCGACTCTTTTGGACTGGATTATGACCCACTTTAAACGGACCGATTGATTTGAAATTTGGCAGGTCTACAGGGTGGGCAAAATTGGGCGTTTTCACGGGCTATCTCAATAACTAAAGGAGTTATCGAAAAACCGAAATAATTTACTCAATTAGGAAATTAGTTGGCTACGTTGAAAAATATAGCTACAAAGAATATAGTCAAATTGTCTATCGCGTTGGCCTAAGCAAACGTCACATATATTTTTCAAGGTCATCTATTAATTTTCTGACTGAGTGAATTATTTATCATACCAAATATTCATTTGTGAAAATAGAATATTTCTATAAAATTTTGATGATATTTATGTTCTTTCTATGGTTAAGGTTAATATATACAGATTGTCATTTTCAACCTATATTCTGTCTCTTGATAGCATTTTCCAGAAATGTCAGTGATTTCATAGCTGCTCACAAGCAGTAGTTAAGTGTTATCACTGGAGATGGTCCCACTTGGTCCTTGAGTGTATCATTGGTATATCTCTCACAGTTGCGAATTTATGAATAAAACCTAAATGATTATTACAGAAGATATGGAGGTACAACCATGAGAAATGTGACACAATGAATATATTTTTGCGAATATTTTCGAAATTGTGGAAGAAAAACAAAAGGTTTTTTATATATATATATACAAGGTGTTTTTGAAATAGGTGCACATATTCAGCACAATGATATGATACAATATAAGAAATATTCCCATGATATCAGATTTTTTTCTAATTCTTCTAATTAATGAGAAATTTCATCCCAGAAATTGAACAAAATACGAGAAAAAATCAAGTACGGCACTTTAAAACAATTGAAATGATAGAACTCCACAAGGAAATTTGAACAGAAGTGACATCAGATTTGCTACAGTGTAAAACTTTGGGTGGAAAAACATAGTATATGGATAAACGTTTGTGATTTGTCAATATTCCTCACCATAAAGTGCTCAGAAAATTAAAACGAAATCGGCAATTGTTCAATTGCCCCCTGTATCTCTGAACGAATGAAGATCTGACCGAATGAAGATATCAAAATTCCAATTGCATCATTCCAGGTTTCTCTAAAATCGATACCCTAGCATGTATACCGGTTTTTCATTACTTCCTTTAGTTATTAAGAATGCCCGTGAAAAGGCCCAACTTTGCCTACCCTGTACATAATACTGGTGGCAATGCAACATGAAAGCTTTGTTAGACAAAAAAAACAAAATGGCGGATGAGTTTTGTAATTATGATCTGATCCTATTCAAATTGGGTATCTGAGGGTTTTCGGGATCGGATATGATTCATTCGTCAAAATTTGTAAATTCTAGATGGCGGATCCAATATGGTGGACGAGTTTTGTAATTATGATCCGATTCCATTCAAAATGGGAGTTTTCCAGGTCGGAAATTGTCATTCTTTCCTTAAAATTGGAATAATCAATATGACGGGCGGAATTTGTAATCATGATCCGATTCTACTAAAAATGTGTATCTGGGGTATTTAGGGGTCGGAGATAATGGTTCTTTCGTCGAAATTGGGTATAATTAGGAACACTGTGAAAAAACTAAAAAACACGCCTTAGTTAGTCTCGTAGTTAGCCGAACTAAAAAATGGAACATGAGTAAGTTTTAGGGAAATCCTTAAAATTGGTGTAGCTGTTGACCAGTTGAAGGCAAAGTCACATATGTACAGTCAAATGCAAAGAGCATGTCGCGGCTGGATGTTGTTAGTGCTCTTATTGCAGGAGTGACTAGAAGTGCTATCACAGCCCATGTGCGACATTTCCTTTGCATCTGGCTGAACATACAGCGTGTCTCACTTTAAACGGCCCTCCCTCTATATGATCAGTTTTCCAGGGACGAACATCCTTTTGGACAGTGTTGTGACTGTCGTGCGTTTTTATTGAAATAAAAAGGGGCTGATTATTAATGAAATCATATTAAGATTTTTTGCAGGAAAACTAACTTCATAATCTTCATAATATTATTGTTCCCTACGCTTTCAAACCTCCATAATATGCAAAAAACCACCTCATTCCTGATTTACAGGATTGGCTACATTTTTTTCAATTTCTGCCTCACAAAAATAGTGAATTCAAATCAACTGCAAATTTTGAAATGTTCAATAGCTCCGGTAGGTATAAAATCTAGTTTTGAAAGAAAAAAACGAGATATACTTTTTTTTGTTGAATGGTGCCTGTACGACCTGCTCATGCACTCTACAACCCCTTTATTGAGTGGACTTCTATGGCATATTTTTGTATATTATAAATCATATTATAAATCGATGTGTTCTATTGAAAACGATATAAATCCAGATATAAATAGAACCCAGGTGTAAATTTGAAAAACTCAGTGATGTGTTCTGATGGGTGTTTTTCAAATTGTTTTAATGATGAACTTTTGTGCAATAAACTACCTGATTTTGACTAGTATTTTTTTCAGTAAGTTGATATAGTTCTGCAATTTTGTAAAAATGCCTTCAGAAAAAGATATGATACACCAAATATGCTTGAGACACTATCAATAATAAATGGTGATGTCATTAGTCCAGTCTTTAGTGGAGTCTTTGGTCTATAAAAAGAGATTGATATTTCATCACTTCTCCTATGCTGTGCACTCTATTGCCACTGTATAAGTGGGCCCCTGAAGTTCTCACCCAAAATTCCTATGCAATGGAAATATTCCTAAGAAATTTGTATTGGTATATTGGCCATTTCTGCCCCTTTTGACGGATATCGGTATCGGCGATGCAAAATATGGGCTCAAGAAAGAAATCAAATGCTTAATATTTCAATCACTAAGAAACTTTTAAAGAAATTAAATCACCAATACTGCATAGGGAAAAAAGTTCATTCTCACTCAAAATTTAACAAAAAACCCTTAAAACTGTAGAATTAAGGCACCAAGGTGAAAAAAATCATATTTGAAGTTCTGGCAAGTAATCTAAGACAATTAAGCTTCCTGCTCTTTCATAAACAATACTTTTGGCGGGGGGGGGGGGAAGTTTTGAATAAATTATCACAACTATGTACTTCATTTGGAATAATATCTTTTTTGTGCCCACCAAGTTGTGAGAAATCAAACCAGGGACCTTCTCCTAAATTTCTTGGTTCACGTTCACCTCCTCTGAATTTTTAGCAATTCCCTCTAAAGAAGCATCATCATTGGATTCATTGCCCACAACAGACTTTCTGGAATTATCTTTCAGCAAGTCTGAACCCTGTACATTAATTTTAAGGATTTCATTTCTTAAAAACTGTAAAAACTCTTTTGAGATAAATTGATATATACATGATCAAAAAAAGATGTCTTCAACCATCAGTCTAATGAAGTGGCAAAAGAAGGTTTATATCAGTAGAATTGGTTTTGCATTTACTATTTAAGGTGTCTTTAAGCTTTTCATGGTTTAGCTGTGTTAAATGGTAACAGTATGTAATTAAAGTTTTACCTCATTTATAGAGCAACAAATTTACAGCAGTCAATAAATTGGTATTGGATTGGTTCATATATTGGTATGGATCCATATATATGGGTATTAGCCACTATATCAGTACCAGTATCTGTTGATCCCTACTTATAACCATTAAGAGTTCATAGGATAGGGCATTTCAATGAAAATTTTGATCAGGCACCATCATTTCAGTAATGTTTCAACTCACCCACAACTTAAACCATATTTTTCCATGAGGTATGCCAACACCAATGTAGCACTTCTGGAGTTTCCATTATTTCCATGAACTAAAACCTTGCAATTATTAGCAAGAGCTTCATCAATGAACTGCCGAACTTTGGGGAAGAACCTTATTATATTTTCTGTTACATTATCAGCTATCTCTAGGGTGAGATATGCAAAAGCAGGATCATTTATCTGTGGCTTTATAATGTTAGCTTCATACTCCTGTCGGACACATACTATGTAGTTGATACCATGTTCCAAGAGACAGTTCCTCTGAGCTGAATTGAATGGGCCCAAGTAAACACCAGGAATGATTTCTTGCATAGTCTTGTGAACATGCAAATGACGAAAAGTTTGTGATTGATGGGAAGATCGTGAGTTGAACATAAGACTTCCATCAATTCCACAAATTACCTGAAATATGAATTATTTCATTTAAATTGAGGTTAGGATCAAATGTCTGTATTTTATATCTTAATAAAGTCTTGGTGAAATTTTGGTCATAATATGGAAGGAACAAAGAAAATAGAACAGATCTATCTACAATCTACAGAATTCATTTCTTCAACAACTCACCTCGCCTTTGGAATAATTTGAAGAGCTTATATCAATCATTTTCTAGAACTGCAGATCAACTTGATATTTAGAGGTTGAATGACAAGAAGGATAGTACCTACAGGACAAATACTTGGTTTTTCACGATAAAGCCATTATTTTACGCCCTATCTTCTCAAGAAATTTAATTTAATGGGTATTTGGTATTTCCCTAAAGAAATGGATTTCAGATTTCGATCAAAAATGTCAAAAAGTTACACTTCTTTAACACTGACACTTAACACTGACATTGACATTAGTGACAGTCAGTCTGGCAGTGACAGTCAGTCTGGCGGTGACAGCTCAAGTGACAGCTAACGGGGATACACGAGTGTCTCGTGACAGGACTGTAGACCATGTTGGCTGCTAGACTCCTTTCTGTCTTCAGTGTCTTCTGTCAGTTCTGTCATCTGTGGACTGTGAATATTTTGTTTGGTGTTTACTGTTTACCTACATTTTTTAAAATTGAATATTATTTATATTTAAAATGTGGTTTTAATGATATGATAATAACACTGAAATGATAATAATTTATGTATGCTAAATAAAGTAGAGAAACCAATAATAATTCACAAAATTTTCCGGTTAAAATGACCACTTTGAGGCCTTTCACATGTGATGATATGTATAAATTCAATAATGTGTAAGTTTCTTCAATGATCTACATATTATTATAATTATTACATGATAGTACTGTCGTTGGTACTGCCTGTTCTCTCATAATTATGTCTCGAATAATACCATGGTGTTGTTTCAGAAATCTAGACCCTCTCACAGAAACCTATGGATTATCATTCTACATGCAGTATTTAGCTCACTGGCCAGAATATTTTCAAGTAGCAGAATCACCCAGTGGTGAAATCATGGGATACAGTATGTATTTGTATATAAGGTGTTTATAAAAAGTCTCAAAAGAAACCATCACAATTTGATTCAATAAGTCAGCCTTTAGTTCAAGATGGGCAAATATGTAATATGATGTTTAGGTTATGGTGGATTTGGGAGGTGCTAAAAATACCAACTTTCATCATACTATAAAGGGTAGTTTTTTAATATTCAATTCCGGATAATATTAGAAACCACTTCATCCATTACCAGACACATTATCATGGTGACATTGGTGGCTATCCCTTGCCAGACACCCTTAAACCTTGATGAATTGTAACTTAACTTGTATTAAATTATAAAAGCTGAATTTTATACATGCCACTTCTGTAACTATTAGAAGATGTTTCCTTAGTAGCCAGAAAGTTCTGATGGTGCTAACCCCTAGCCAGACATACATTCAGGGCTCTTGTAAAAAACGGGATCAATTCATTTTCAGTTGAACTATTAATTTCTGAAGATTCTCTTGAAATAGGTCAACTTTTGATTAAAATTTGCCACATTCATATATGCATATTAAATATACAGGGTGATCCATGTTGGAATTATCATGTTTGCTTCAATTATTTCAAATGGAACCACCTATATATTATTCAATTTTTGGAATCTCCATAAAAAGCTGAATTCAAAAATATAGTACACATAGAAGTGTAATTCTTGAATTAAATTGAACCATGAAGTTCATTCCTATGAGACAAGGAACCAAAGAAATATATACATTCTGCTCACAAGAACAAACATCACTTTAAATAACCCTCTCAATAAATGTATCAAAACTCTTAATCATCTACCAGTGGCTTTGAGGGAAGCCAATAACATAAAAATATTTGAAACTGAGTTGTCAAAAAGAATCTCTATCAATAACATCACTGTATGAAGATCAGATTAGGATAGTAACAATGAGATGAATGTTTGTAGGATTAAGGAGTTCCCAGACCAGCAGCACCTGCTGATTTGGAATTATTCTTCAGATAGGTCATACTAAATTAACAATAATTAAGATCAGATTGTTGACTATTTGAATGAGGCCTCAAAAAAATATATAAAATTTGAATTAGGGATGAGCATTTTAAATTGAATTCTTACATCTGCACATGCATGATCATCATCACATGTTATCTCAGTATGATGCAGATATTAAGACAACCTCAGAAAATGCATTGAAATTCAAGATGCACATATTGAAAACCATTTTTGATGATCTTTTTGTCTTAACTGATGTCATTAAATAGTTGAATGGAGCTTTTATTACCTGTGTATGTATGTTTTGAAATGTGAGTATCTCTAGAACAGTACAAGATATGGATTAAAATAAGGTATACCATTTTTATAGATAAAAGATGAAGGAATCAAAAGGTTGAGGCAAAATGTGAAATTTGTTACCTATGTCGAAAATGCCTTCATTAAACGGAAAAAATTCGTCCCATCCTGTATAAAACATATTCACTGAACAGCTGTTTTCATATGGAAAGGAGCATAAGTATGAGTTCATTTACCTGCCCAAATATCATTGATACCATGGCAACAGTTTGGAAGTTATACATAAAATTCATTTTTTTCCATTCCTACTTTCATTCCTCATTTATGACATGACCTATCCAGACACCTTGTATAGTGTGTTCCTCAGAAATGGATAGTTTGGCTGGAGGTTTGGCTAAAAATGAATTTATCCACTACATTATGAGAATCCTTGATGTAATAGACACACTGTATACTTACCTTTTGTGTGATATATGTTTGAATTCAGCTTTCCATGGAGATTTCCAAAATTGAATATTATATAAGATGTTCCATTTGAAATAATTGATGCAGGCATGATAATTCCTAAGTGTATATTTAATTTCCTCATATGAATGTGGCAAATTGAAATTAAACATTGACTTTTTTGAAGAGATTCTATAGAAATTGATAGTTTGACTGAAAATGAATTCATTCAGTACTCTATGAAAGCCTCATGGTTAGGTGTCTGGCAATGGATGACATGGTTCCTAATATTATCCTGAATAAAGTGAAAAAAATACCCTTTATAGTATAATATAACGAAAGTTGGTATTTTTAGCACCTTTGCATTCATATTCTTCATATTTTCCCATCATTCTCACCTGTGTTGGGAGCATGCACTGAGAAACTATCAGCTTTTATAAAATAAGGAAGGTAAAATAGTTATTTATGCAACAAGTGCAAAAAGTGAATGTTTATTGCATTCCACATGAAATTGTCCGTTAGGCTGAGTTGGACGAGTGCAATAAACAATTTTTGCAGGAGTTGCATACAACATTTTTTCTATGTTCATGCAAAAAGCAAAAAATGATTTATTGAGGTGCGGCACTAGGTACAATTCTGTTAATTGTCAGAATTAATTCTTGACTGACGTTTCTATAACCACAGTTGCATTATAGAAAATGTTTGTCATGATGACAGCACGTTGAAGTAGAATGACAGATGAGTGCAATAAAAACTTTATTGCACTAAGTGCAATAAAGAACTTCTTTTTCCACTAAATATAGTTCAATAAAGTTCTGTTTTTTGCATGAATGTAGAAAAAATATATTAAAAAAGTTAGAAATGACAAATTCCCAAGTTCCACACGATACATGATCATGTTTTAATATTTTATAGTTTCAATACCTATCTTGGTACAAAGTTCCTATAGTTTTTCCACAAATGAGCCCTGGAGTCTGAAGATACAATTCAGATTATGACAACTTTGATAATTCTGCAAAAATTTGGTGAGAGAGTTCTTTGGGACTAACCAAATACCCAAACACTAGACATTCAAGTTTGCCACATATCTATTAATATTGATCATTCCGGATCCTTCCATGTATAAATAGTATTCCATACAGTCAGAGATTAACAATCTTTGATTTTAAATCATCAAGAATATTCCTTTTCAATAATGAAAGTATCAACCTCTCATATATATCCTAATTCCACTTCATGTAGAAATAAGTATTCACTTTCACAGTAGGGGTGTACAACTGTACACACAGTAATAAAGATACACACAGTAACACAGTCATATATACAGCATGTCTCACTTCAAAAGCCACCCCTCAGCTATTGTATGATCCTCACCAAATTTGTACTGGTATGAACGGGTATGAATAACCATCAATATGATCAGTTTTTCATATTCTATTTCTGGACTAACAAAAATTCAATGGATTGTTATGTGATGAAAACAATAACCTTAAAACCTTTATATAACCTTCAATAATAAAAAGTTATAGGGGTGAACTACCTTGAGAAATCACCCGGTAGGTATGGGGTGTAATATTCTAGGCAAGGCAAAATTCTAGGTCTGGAGTAACAAAAATTCAATGGATTGTTATGTGATGAAAACAAATTAAATACATATTCAAAATTTGCTTTCAAATTTGGAAATGCAAAAAGTATACTCTTATCATTTTTTGGCAAACAATTTTACAACCCAAATCTTGAACTCAAATAAGTTGTTTTCCTGGATTTAAATGCTTCATTGAAAGTAAAATGGTATGGACACATGTGAAAATATACCAGATGGTTTATTAATGAGGACCAAAGTTAGGACCCAACAAAGATATGAGCATAATCCATAAAACATCATATATCTGGATTATGGAGTATGTAAAATGAAAAAAAAAATCAGAATCAACTTCATTGATCTCTATCCACCGTTCACATATATGTTTTCCAATGAAACCCTGTGTCATGTAAGTTTACCTTAAAACAGCTTATTTTGTCTAGGAAATATGTGATAGGTTTTTTAAAGACTTTTCTGTTGTAAAATGGACGTAATCATCCTGTATTATGAAAGAGGCGGCGAGGAGAACAGATGTCAGTTGATGTCAGTAGTTAATTTTCATGAATTGTCATTTTTCGTACATGAACTTTATATTTGAATAAAATTTTCTAAAAAGCCTTTCCATCTTGACAAAGAACCTAAAACAACAGGAAATAACGGTATCTGAAGATATTTCCTACAATTCAGAAGTGGTCCTTATTGGTATCAGAAAATTTGTGGCAGAGTATTGGTGTTAGCGAGATTTCCGAGTATATCTTGATTGTTTTCTTCTGGTTCCTGGAGTAGTTATCTTCATGGCAGAGGGAGGTACAAGTCCAAGTAGTACGGCGGAGTTTTCAGCATCGCAGGATTCTCTGATGGAAAAGTTCATGGAAATGATGTTAACTATGGAGCGGAATAGGTTGGCTTCGGAAGAGAAGTTTCTCAAGTTGCTTGAAAGGTCTAATGATAGAGAGCAAGAGAATAGGGAATGCCATGCTATTCCTGATTTTAGTAAAAGTATAGAAGATTTCAGTGGAGAAACTCTAGGAAAACCTGCTATGGATTGGCTTGTTAGTCTGGAGAGTGCAGCTGTACTTCACAACTGGCCTCAAGAGTATACTCTAGAAACAGCGAAAATCCATATGGTCAGTACGGCTAGGAAATGGTTCACTGAGAGAGCTTCTCAAATTAAAACATTTGAAGATTTCAAAGCAAGTTTCAAGAAAACCTTTGATTTCAAAATGGGTAAAGATGAAATGTGGAAAAAAATGAAGAAGCGAATCCAAGGGAGAACAGAATCAATTTATTCCTATTTTCAAGATAAGGTTACGCTTTGCAAGAGTTTAGGATTCGATTTCGATGAAATAAAAGAGCAGGTAATTGTAGGACTTCAAAACAAGAGTATAATTCCTGGTTTGCTTGCTAAGGATACTACAGATACTGATCAATTATTGCATGAGATTGTGAGATTCGAGAAAATAAACAACAAAGCTAATTTTTATACCCACAATAAATCTCAACCTCGTAGTTTTTGGAATAAGAATAAGATTTCTTCTGGTGAATCTGAGAATGTTAAGGATCCTACAGAAATAACTTGTATGGGAGCAGATAATGACGACCCTGCTAGGGAAAATCGGGAAAGTGATAAGAAATCTAGAGTGATTTGTTTTAAATGCAAAGGAAGAGGTCATTTCAAGAAATATTGTCCACAAAATACAAA